GTGCTGGAGAAGGAGCTGAGAGTTCTATGTCCAGATCAGCAGATAGCAGAAGTGAATGTCACACTAGAACTGGCTTGAACATTTAAGATCTCCAAGCCAGCTCTTAGCGATGTGTTTCCTCCAACAAAGCCACACCTACTCCAATAAGGCCACACTTCCTAATAGAGTCACCACCTGTACACTTATGGAGGTCATTTTTATTTAAACTACATGCTTCTTGTAAGAATTGTCAGAGCCAGCCAACTAGGGTAGCTGAGTTGGGCATGAGGCTGAGGAAAAAACAGAGACAGAAGAATAGACAGAGACAGAAAATCAGTGTTGGGAGGGCTTCTGGTCAATACCAAGCAAGCCCTGAGTTTATTTCACAGCCAGATTGTACACAAACTGAAAGGCAAAAGTAGAACAAAGCACAACACAGGCAGTCTAGCCTGTCCTTGAATCAAGCAACAGGCTTTTTCATGATCTCAAACATGTGCCACCTGGTGACATCAGCACCCTGCTTAGAATTGAACATTAGCTAGATAACATTCTTTCCCACAAGCTAATCAGGACTTTCTCCCAGCCCCTATACTTTTCCTAGGAACTTTATCAGAGCTTTCTCATAGCTTCTGAAGAGACTAGAGAAAGCAAGCTTTGAACTCTTTTGGGTCAGAGTAGACATCAGATTCAAACTGAGTCCCTGTGGGAAACTGAGTCACTGTGGGCTCCCACAAAGAATTTGAAAGTTTTAGGTATTTTTTTAGATTTATTACTTTTATGCAGTGTTTTGCCTACATGGATGTAGTGTGCCTCATGCCTACAGAGGTCACAGGAAGGTATAGCATACCCTAGAATGTGAGGTACAGATGGTTGTGAGCTACAGTGTGGATTCTGGAATCAGAACCTATGGTTCCAACCTATGTCCAAGAGCAGCCAATGCTCTTAAGCTCAGAACCACATATCCAGCCCCAGGGTTTAGAGTTTATGCTTATATTTTTGTTTAATTTTGAATTCATTTTTGTGTATGGTGTAAGATAAAATTCCAAATTTATTTGTTTTACATTTCAATATTGGGCTCCTAAAAACAATTTTTCAAAAATATTGCATCTAAAATTTTGGAATTCGTTTTCCCCTCCTTTTTGTTAACATTTGCAATTGACATACAGAGTAATGGGTTTCATTATGGCATTTTTCATACAGATATGTCATTATACTTTGTGTTCATTCTCTTCCCATACTGCCTTCTCCTATGCCCCTGTTGCTTTGTACTGCTCTCTGGTTCCTTTTCTCTCCTCAGATAGCTGTACTTTCTACTTTATTACATGTGTTCCATATGTTCCTCTCCCTTAAGAGACATTTCTCCCCTCTCTGGTCTCCTTTTAGTCTTATGACTTACACACACACACACACACACACACACACACACACACACACTTTTTTTTTTTTTTTTTTGGTTTTTCAAGACAGGGTTTCTCTGTGTAGTTTTGGTGCCTTTCCTGGAACTCACTTGGTAGCCCAGGCTGGCCTCGAACTCACAGAGATCCGCCTGCCTCTGCCTCCCAAGTGCTGGGATTAAAGGCGTGCGCCACCACCGCCCGGCTACACACACACTTTTAAATCTAAGTGCTCTTTATAAGAGAAAACAATCAGTGTCTTTCTGACTCTTGCTTATTGCATTTAACATGATCTTCAGTTGTATTTACTTTCTTGTAAATGTCATGATTTCATTTTTCTTCACAGCTGTATAAAATTCCATTGATAAAACCATTTATTTAAAACTATCATTTTCACACTGAATAATTTTGGTACTGTTATCCGAAATCATTTGGCCATGTATACATGTATTTGATTGACCATGTATGTGTGTTTTAATTTCTGGGCTCCATATTCTGCCCCATTGGTCTGTGTGTATGTGTTTGTGCCATTACTGCATTTTTTAATTGCTGTAGTTCATAGCAAGTTTTAACATCAACAAATGTAAGATCTCCATACCTGCACTTTTGCATTTCAGGATTACTTTAGCTGTTTGTGTCCATTGAGAATCCATGGGATTTGTAGGATGGTAATTTGTTGTTGGTTGTTTTTTTGTTTGTTTGTGTTGACACAGAGCCTCAATGTGTATCCTAGTCTGGGAGTCCTTAAGCTGTGAGTTCTTCTGTCTATTATCAGAACAAAGCAGATTTCATTTTTCATGTGTTCTGCTTTTACCGAAATGTCATTGACCTTTTAATAAAGACTTCATTGTATTTGTATGGTACCTTGTGTAGTGTGAAAATCTTTCTTTTAATTTTTGTACTCAATTTTGCACGTTTTTCTGATATTTGCCATATAGAGGTTCTCCAAGTTCTAAGATGTATGGTGTACTGTTTTAAATTGTAATGTAGTTGTCTTCCTTTAATGTTTTGTCTAAACTATATTTTCCTACCGTTTTCCTTTTTTAACTACACTTCTCTAATACTTCAGTGGCTTTTCCTTCTTAAGTATAAGATATTTTATAATTGTTAATACTCACTTAAATGTTGTTTATTGATGCCAAATATGGCAGTATTATAGGCATAAAGTTGTAGAAGAAGCATATATGACTGAAAAGAATATTTTCAAGCACACCCAAAGATAATAGGAAGAAGTCCAGATTCGATGTGTAGGAGGAGGGCATTGTAAATGCTGTTCTCAGATAAATGGAACCATGTTTCAGTTCTGTTGGTGAATAATCCTCACTTGCTAGTCTATGACAGAATCAGTTCAAAAACCAGAAATAAATGAGAGAAAATTGGCAGCATGTACTTAACTTTTATAAGGCACGGAAATACTGTCTTTCATATACAGAAAATAAGTATCTTATTTAATAATATATGAACGGTGCACTATATTTAATAGGGACATGATTTTATATATGGAAACATGTAGTCTATTGTTTTAGTATACTGTAGATAAAACAAACCCCCACTAAGTCTCTACTCCTTTTAGTAAAATAACTTCATACTGTTTGGTTTATTTATTCTAGAAGAAATTTCATTTTCTTCTAACTCTTCTGTTTTGTAAAATATATTTATAGTATGTTGATGATATACTTTAGAGATTGGGTTCTTGAGGGGAAGAATCTCATATATATGCCAGGCACCCTTTAGCTCAGTTGTTAGACAAATGTGGCTACATGTTTTGGTCCACACCTATAATCTCAGTAATTAGAAGGCTCAGACAAGAGGATCAGGAGTTCAAGAACAGCTTGAGCTACACAGTGAGACTCTTACAAAAACAAGAAAAATGTGTTCCTTGTTGTCTTGGAACTTGGCAGTGATTCCAAAGACATTTCTGATTACATTCTAGAGTCTTTAAAGTGATTGAGAATTCTTAATAGCCCAGAATGTCATCTGTCTTGGTGAACATTCTGCACATTTGGAAAACCATTCACTCTCTTGCCAAATGAGACTTCTGTTAGTGTTAATTAGATCATATTGGTTCATAGCCTGTTAAAGTCTCCATTGTGTCTCCTGATTCTTTACTTATCCCAGCAATTATAAAGTGATGTTTAAATCTCTTAGTTGTGTATTATATTTCTCCTGCAGTACCATTGAATTTTTGCATTGTGTATTTTGAAATTCTGTTACTAGGCACATGAATTTTAGGAATTTTGTGTTTTGAAGTGGCTTTTTTCTTTTTCTTTTAGAGACTGGTTCTCACCATGTAACCCAGGCTGACTTGAAACTCACTGTGTTGGTCAGGTTATCCTTGAACTCAGAGATCCACCTGCCTCTGCTTTCCATGAGCTAGAATTAAAGCATTAGTGACCAGCATTTTTTATCTTTTATAATCTTTAATTAGAAATATCCTTTTACTTACTATTCCGTCTTTAACTTGTTTCTAAAATTCTTCCCAAATCCAAGTATCTTGTTATTGCCTTATATTTGGTGATTTTTCAAGTAATTTTTTGGGGGTGGTGGTGGGGAGAGGCTAGTAGATTGAGTAGAAACTAATTTAGGAAAAGGAAAAACAAGCCAATGAATACTTAACACTGTAGTCATTATGAGATTGATGGTAATATTTCTGAGGGGCTTGAATATGGGAGGAAATTTCTTTCTGGGGGTAACAACTGAATCTAAACAGTTGAAACATAAAAAATGGAGAGTATTCATCAGAGAGCATGTGCAAGTTGAAAAGCAGCAGTGCCTTGGAAGGCTAATGATTGCTAGAATATAGAGAGTGAATAGGTGTGGCCAGATGTGTTAGGAGAGGTTATTGATGCTAGATTATGAAACGCTTTGTTATGAGAACTGGTGCTTTACAATATGAGTCTTTACCTTGTACCAGCATGTGTTGTAAGTAAGAAGACAGATAATATTGTGATCATTGTAAAAAAAAAAAAAGGAATTGAGAGAGTACAGAAATACTTCATAGCTAGCTCAAGGTGAAAGTTAGGAGATAGAATTTTACTGTGGTTATTTTGGCAGCTTCTAATTGCTACGTGTGTGTGTGTGTGTGTGTTTGTGTGTGTGTGTGTGTGCGCGCGCGCATTTTCTAGGCTATAGCAGAGTTTGTATTTGGCCTTGTACATAATATAGTGCTCTTTAGGGATTTTATATAAGGACATAAAATTTGTGTTTTGTGTCTGTCCAAATGTTGGGAAAAGGTTAGAGAAGTAGAGAACAAGCAGAGCAATAATGAATTTTTATATATTGTTTATGCTGAGTTTTCAAGTAGCTTAACCTGCATTTTTGTTTCCTTTCAGCTTAAATGAACATAATGGTTTCCATATCATAGTAGTAGAAAAGTAATTAAATGGTGTGAATTAGTAAAGATTCATTGACTTTAGCTGTGATAATGTTTTTGGTGGCCTCAGTAATGATAGATGGATTAGTTTTGTTTTGTTTTTTTTTTTTTAACCTCAAGCTTAATTCTCATCATTAAAAAAAAATTGCAGGTTGTATCATATTGCTTACAGATAGGACTTTAGGATGCCATTTTATTCAATGAAATATTAACTACCACCTCTGTCTTCTGCTATTATTGTTTTGATTTTTCAGTTCATGGGAAAACCAGATGGAGACCATTATACTCTGGATGACATGTTTGTCTCCAAAGCAGCTGAAAAAGAACATCTTGGTGAAAAGGAAGAGAGCCAGAGGAGGAAAGCAATTGCAGAGCACCAGAGTCTTGCCACACAGATGGCCAAGTGTCTGTACTGTTTTGACAGCTCTCAGTTCCCCAAGCACCTTATTGTTGCCATCGGTGTGAAGGTAAGAAATAAAGCATTCATGCAAGGTAAAGGTCAGTTCGTATATACAGATTTTTCTAGCTCTTCAGATTTTTAGAAAATTTTTAAAAGTTTTTACTTACTCTAATTTTTCAAATGTTTTTGTTCTCTAAGTTACCATAGTTCTTCGGGTTTTTTGATAGACCATATATCAGTGTTTCATTGTTTTCACCCCATGTTGTAGGTGACTCTGTTCTGTTGAGAATCAAATTCTGGCTAATCTAATGATTGAATTGAACTCAGCGTTAAAATCTCCCCTCAGAGTCTTAGTCTAAAGCAGCTTTCATTTCTTTACTTACTTCCTCATAGACTATATTTGATTTCTCATAGACTGTGTCAGAGTTTGAAAACCTATTGAAGTTACTTTGTCTTGTTGATTAGGTTTTCCCCTAAGTATTTCAGCTTCAGGAATGCAGAAATAACCTTTGCTCACCATTGTATTCCAAGCATCTTATCTTCATAGTGTGTCAGAGTCAGTTATTCAATAAATTTGTGTTGATGACTATATTACATTGTGCAATTAGTTTGTGGATGTGATAGGTGTAACACTAATCTGAAAAGGTCTTATAATAAAAAACCCAGAGCCCTATATTGGGGGGGGGGTGCTGAAACATCAGAGAAGGAGAACAGCTGCTAGCTTACCTCTGCACAATCCTCAGCCTAATCTTTAGAGAGTAAGTTCCTGTGTCCTCATGCCTTAAAAACATTTCTGGGATCCTGCCATATTACTTCTTGGAATTAACGGCATGTGTCACCACTGCCTGGTTCTGTTTCTCTCATGTAGCCCAGTGTAGCCTTGAACTCACAGAGATCCAGACGAATCTCTGCCTTCCGAGTGATAGTATTAAATAAAGGTCTGTGCTACCACTGCCTGACCTCTATGTCTAATTTAGTGGCTGGTGCTCGCTTCAGCAGCACATATACTAATTTAGTGGCTGGCTCTGTCCTCTGATCCCCAGGTAAGCTTTATTGGGGTACACAGTTTATCACCACAGATAGGTGCCAAATTCTGATTGTTGTGGAAAAGTAAAGAGTCAGGTAGATTTAAAAAAAAAATTTAAAGATGTATTCATTTAAAGGTTTTTTTTGGGGGGGGGTGGTAATTGAGTTTTGAATCTAGGGCTCTGTGGGGCGTTTACCCACCACCCCCACAGCTTCCCAGAGTTTTCTTGAGTGCGAGCAGCAGGAAATATTAGATAGAAGGATTTATAGCGGAGAATCTTGCGGAGATAAACAGATAGAAAATAAAGGATAGCCTCGAGAGGGCCTGGAACCTATTCCAACGGGCCCCGACTGTCTCTGGTCCAGGGTTTTTATAGAGACGCCAAGGGGTGGAGCAAAAGACCTCCTCCCCCAGCACAGCCAAGTGCAGGCCATCTCAGACACCTGCACTCAGGCCCGTGGTCCTGATCATCCTCTATTCGGACCTGCTGGGTAAAGCCACGAGGAACCCCGGAACGGGCTCCCACAGGGCTCCACCTAGGCAAGTGCTCTAGCACTTCTGAAGCTTTGTTCTGTTGACAAGTAATAAACAAATTAAACATATCTTGGTTCAGAAGGATATTGTCATAAAGTGAGGGACAAAATCATGGAAAGTGTTATTTTGAAAATATGTATTAGAAGTTCTCTCTGAGGCAGCAGTGAATGAAAAGCCTTGACTGGGAACAAAAAAAAAGAAGGAGGAGGAGGAGGAGGAGGAGGAGGAGGAGGGAGGAGGAGGAAAGAGGAAGAAGGAAGAAGAAAGAAGAAAGAAGAAAGAAAAGAAACAAATCTGGAGTGGCTCTCCTTTAATCCCAGCCCTCTGAAGGCTGAGACAAACAGATCTCAGCTGGAGGCCAGCATGGTCTACAGAAAGTTCCAGGACTGCCAGGAGCACACAGAAAATCCCTGTTTAAAAATAAAAAGACTGGAATGGATTAAGTGAGAATGGGTGGCTGAGGCTAAATGAAAAAGTTCTGGTTTCAAGAATTAATAGTTTGGGAAACATTCATATTGTCTTTCTTATCATTCATATACATATGAGTACTTCATTGTATGTAATAGAAAAGTAGCTATGGTTTATAGGTGATTCGTATATGTAAATAAATAGAATCTAACCAGAGAGGTAAAGCTATCCTGGACTCATTTTCTTTCCCTTAGCTAGGTTAATTCAGTTTTTTCCCATAACAAGAGAAATTGCCTGATTGTTCCACATAATTTAGACTGTCAACAAAAGAAAACAGCTTTCCTCACAAAGGAACAAAGATGGTTTATTCTCAAAGAAAACAATACAGTTTTTGAAAAATAAATCAAGAACCAAGTTACCCTGATTTGCAGCACTTCAGACTCCACAACAGCTGGATCTCTGGTTAGTCTATTAGCTTTAAACAGCACAAGGTGCAGTTCTTCCAGGAACTTCCATTCATAAGATTTACATTTTGTCTTTTTATTTTTCAAAAACTGTATTGTTTTCAGATAAAATGTCCCTTAGATAAAAGATCAAGTGACATTTGTTCTTGTGCTTTCTTGGGAATCTGTTTTTAATGTCTATCAATGAAAACTGAGACTTATGTTCTAAATTACAGTTTATTAGAAGCCATTTCCACGATATTTTAAATGTAAATAGCATCTTTGAGAATATTAAAATAAGACTAGTTCTTACAAGCAAGTCTGCCTTTTTCAATACTTCTGATTTCACTACTGTAGTCTTCTCTGTTATAGCCATGACTAAATAACACATCACCATTGGAATTTGCCCCTAGGTTTATTTATGTTTACCCAACTTCCAATCTCTTACTGAGGGCCACTGCCTCATAGTCCCTCTGCAGCACCTTCAAGCAGCTACCATGTTGGATGAAGATATCTGGGAGGAGATTCAGGTCAGTACTGTCATGCTCATTGTCTGCAAAGTTCATGAAGAGGTTTTGCAAATTATTATGATAAATTCAAACTGGTTTGATACCTTTACTTGACAGTTTGTAGGTGTCTATAGATTGTCATCTCTCACTACTTTTATTTCCTCACATTCTCCTTGTTTTGAAATCTTTTGTTTACTAAGTAAACTGACAAAGTAATTACTTTAAAAATTAATTAGGTTTCTAATTAGTGCTTTTTGCATCTTACGTTCATCATTCTTATTAAATTATAGCAAAAAAAAGTTTCTAAGAATGAAAATATGTGGAGTCAGAGATTTATAGGCAGCAGTTACTGTTTGCCCTCTGGCTGTGGTGATTGTGCTGCCAAACTAGCTTCTATTTCTTCTTGGTTCCCTTGATAGCATACTCTGGCTTTGAAGTCAGTTATATGAGTCAGTTACATGGTTTTATGGCTGATTCCTTGAAAGATTGAAAGGCACAGCATGGGTTAAATTGTTGCTGAATTATTTCAAGACCTCATAATGACCAAGAAAGAAAGCATTTTAAGTGCTTTCAGCTGAGTAGAGGTTTCAGAGGACTCAAGTTAGAAACTATAGATAAGACTTCAAAAGAGATGACAGTATATACTAGTTTTTGCAGAATGTGGAAAACGATGCCAAAAGACAGATTTGCCTGCATTTTATGAAATGCAGTCTCTTATGCCTTTACTTTTTCTAAGTTTGATACTCCCAGAGTTTATGGGTCAATTATGTTGTTGTGTCAAAGGCCAAGCATAATTAGCAACACAGAGAAGTTATTTTTGATGTGAAAAAATTTTTTGGAAGTGCTAGTAACACTAGGTAATTTAAGGTGGAAAGTATGGAAATCTGACCTTCAGGATTATTACAGGACTTTTCTGAGGTGCATTTAAAAATTTACAAAAAACTGATTTAACGTAGAATAAAATGCAGTGCAAAAGGCATTCAATTACAAGAATCTTGTGTGTATATTATATATTTCTGTGAGGAATTAAAATAAGTGGTAAAAAAAATCTCAAGTTGGATAAGACAATTTTTCAGTCCACGAGGAAGTGAGCACATGAACATGACATTCAGTGATTTGACTTAACACAAAATATTGTTTGAAAGTGCAGGAGTTCTTTTTCAATAATTTTCTTTTTAAGTACCTGATAACACTGTAATGGACATTGGATCTTATGTTTGGCAGAAAATATAAGATAATTTCATAAAAGCATACTTGAACAACCACAAATTGCAAATGAGAAAGATCCAAGTTATATAGTACCTTTTATGTTGAACTTGAAGAAAGTTTTGCTCTTAATTCAATTGACCATCTCATATTATTTCCTTTAACCAGTGGTTATGAGATTAAAAACTTTTGTGAATGTGGAGAAGTTCTGAATATATTTCTGTCATCTTTTTCCCCCTCCTCTAGATGTTTAAGAAATCATTGGTAAAGATGTTTGAAGATAAAGGATTGGATTGTATCTTTTTAGAGACTAATATGGGCATGAAGAAGCAGTATCATATGATTTATGAGTGTATCCCTCTCCCAAGGGAAGTGGGTGATATGGCTCCCATCTATTTTAAGGTATTTATAAGTAGTTTTTGTGTACATTCTTATTTTTTTTTATATTCATTTTAGGGAGAATATATTTGTACTAATGTATTATTTATTTATTTATTTATTTATTTATTTATTTATTTATTTATTTATTTATTTATTTTTGGTTTTTCGAGACAGGGTTTCTCTGCGTAGCTTTGCGCCTTTCCTGGAGCTCACTTGGTAGCCCAAGCTGGCCTCGAACTCACAGCGATCCGCCTGGCTCTGCCTCCCGAGTGCTGGGATTAAAGGCGTGTGCAACCACCGCCCGGCCATTTTTTAATATAGCCATACCAAATTTTATATAAAAAATGAAGTAAAAGCATAAAATAATCTAAATACATTTCTGTATAAATAATTTTGAACTTTTTGTGTAACAGGGAGTGCTAAGAAGTATAAATAAGCTATGAATAATGACTTAAAGTTTATATTTTAATGTCTTTAGTGAAGTCATTGTTTTACCATGAGGAATTCCAAATAATAACTCTAGGAAGGTGACCTCATGCAGTTGTATAGGGAATAACAGCCTACCTGGTATATTTAAATTGGATGTAGTTGAATGTTAGTTTCACCTTAAAACTTGTTTCATCAATGGTAAGGTAAAAAAAGATTATTTTGTAAATAATACCTGTACTAGTTAACTTAGAAAGTCTTAAAATTCCATTTCTATGTATTTTTATCTCTACTTTTAAAAAAGTATACTTTAGTTTTGAGAGTAATTTTTCTCAACATGTTTATTTCCAGTTTTATAGTCCGAAATAGTTTTTGGTACCCACAAATAATATACACTCCTTTGGTGTTTGGAAGAAGAAAAGTAAAATTAAATGAATTTGAGTAGACTTCTATTAATGCAAAAGGAAATTTGTGAAATTTTACATTCACAGATCATATTCTATCTTAAATTACTTAATCTTCTCAAGGATGGCTTTTTGTCCCATGAAGTTGAGCTCGTCACTATAAAGTTAAGAGAAAAAGAATTTTGTCTCTGACTAAAAGTTGGGCTTCAAAACATTAAGTAGTTCTAGTTTTAAATCTTCTAATTAAGGCTTTCACCCATTCAAAATGACAGTCTATCCTATGTACTGAAACCTGCATTCACCTAGAAAACAAAACAACACAAAAACTTGTCTCTTTGTGTTTGCTACTCTTGATTTCTTTTTTTTCACATGGTTGTTTCTTAGAAAGCCATAATGGAATCTGATGAAGAATGGTCCATGAATAAGAAGTTGATTGATTTATCTTCAAAAGATATTAGAAAGTCTGTGAGTATTAAGTTTTTGTAATATAAGAAATTACTATAGTATTGAGAATGTTTGTGAATGTCTACCTCTTGTTTGAGAATTAGGCCATTTGCCTGAGTGAGTAAAGGTGAAACAAAAGTACGCTTCAACAAAAAGTATTTCATTCTGTCAAACGCTCATTTGTTCAAATCTTTGTTCCTGGTGCTCAGCCCCCTGCCCTTTTACTCACCAAAATTGTCTGGGGTGGCCTCTGTATTTTGCTGTGACAAGGTCTCAGGAGGATACTTTTGTCACTGGTATTTTAATGAAAGAAACAATTTGTATTGGCTCCATTTTGAGTTTAGAACACCCTCCCTCTTTTTCTGTTCCTCCTTCTCTTCCCACTCCATTAAAACAAAAATGTGTGTGCATGTGTGCATCCATGTCTTCTCCTTCTACTGTGTTTTAGACAGGGTCTCTTGCTACATATACTTAGGCCAGCTAACACAAGCCTCCAGGGATTCTCTTGTCTCTGCATTCAGTCTTGCCACAAGAATCCTGAGATTATGGATGTGTGGTACCACATCAAGCTTTTTTGGGTTCTGGGGATCCCAACTCAGGTCCTTCCACTTGTGTGGCAAGGACCTGCTGAGCTATTTCCCTGACCCCAAGTTTATTTTTTATATAGAAGTTCCGTGCTGCATTCCTAGAATATAGTAGTTGGGTTACATTACGTGTTTACCACTTTCTTGGATGTATAGTTCATTTTTGACGCCTAGGTCAACTTTTAGATACGATATAGTAACTACTTTTTTTTTTTGTATGTCTTTTATTTCATTTTACAATACTATTCAGTTTTACATAACAGCCACAGATTCCGTTGTTCTCCCCTTCCTGCCCCCCTCCCTTTCCCCCCAGCCTACACCCCATTCCCACCTCCTCCAGAGCAAGGCCTCTACTGAGGACTGAGATCGGCCTGATAGACTCAGTCCAGGCAGGTCCAGTCCCCTCCTCCCTGATTGAGCCAAGCGTCCCTGCATAAGTCCCAGGTTTCAAACAGCTAATTCATGCAATGAGCCCAGGACCTGGTACCACTGCCTAGATGCCTCCCAAACATATCAAGCCAATCAACTGTCTCACCTATTCAGAGGGCCTGTTCCAGTTGGGGCCCTCAGCCTTTGGTTCATAGTTCATGTGTTTCCATTCCTTTGGCTATTTGTCCCTGTGCTTTATCCAACCTTGGTTTCAACAATTCTCGCTCATATAAACCCTCCTCTTTCTCACTAATTAGACTCCCGGAGCTCCACCTGGGGCCTAGCCGTGGCTGTCTGCATCTAGATTCCTCAGTCCTTGGATGGGGTTTCTGGCACAACTATTAGGGTGTTTGGCCATCCCATCACCAGAGTAGTTCAGTTTCGGCTGTCTCTCGGCCATTGTCAGCAGTCTTTTGTGGGGGTATCTTTGTGGATTTCTGTGGGCCTCTTTAGCACTTTGTTTCTTCCTTTTCTCATGTGGTCTTCATTTACCATGGTCTCCTATTCCTTGTTCTCCCTCTCTGTTCTTGATCCAGCTGGGATCTTCCGCTCTCTTTCCCTCGACCCTCGCCCTTCATTGCTCCCACTCATGTCCAGGTTGTTCATGTAGATCTCAGTCATTTCTCCATCATTGGGTGATCCTCGTGTCTTTCTTGAGATCCTGTTTTCCAGGTAGCCTCCCTGGTGATGTGAGTAGCAGTCCAGTCATCCTTGTTCCACATCTAGTATCCTGCTATGAGTGAGTACATACCATATTTGTCTTTCTGAGTCTGGGTTACCTCACTCAGGATGATTTTTCCTAGATCCATCCATTTGCCTGCAAACCTGATGATGTCATTGTTTTTCTCTGCTGAGTAGTATTCCATTGTGTATATGTGCCACAATTTATTTATCTGTTCTTCAATTGAAGGGCATCTAGGTTGTTTCCAGGTTTTGGCTATTACAAACAATGCTGATATAAACATAACTCAGCAAGTGCTCTTGTGGTATGATTGAGCATTTCTTGGGTATATGCCCAAGAGTGGTATAGCTGGATCTTGGGGGAGATTGATTTCCAATTTTCTAAGAAAGCTCCATATTGATTTCCAACATGGTTGTACAAGCTTGCATTCCCATCAGCAGTGGAGGAGAGTTCCCCTAGTTCCACATCCTCTCCAGCATAAAGTGTGTTCAGTGTTTTTGATCTTAGCCATTCTGACAGGCGTAAGGTGGTATTCCCTGATGATTAGGGGTGTTGAACAATTCCTTAAATGTCTTTCAGTCATTTGAGTTTCCTCTGTTGAGAATTCTCTGTTCAGTTCTATAGCCCATTTCTTAATTGGACTGTTGGTCGTTTTGATGTCTATTTTCTTGAGTTCCTTATATATT